GATTACCGGGTGTAACCGTCGCGAGATTAGCGGGACTACCACCCATAAGTAGAAGGCCTCACTCCACGATCAGGTACGATGATTTCTGACCTCGAACTAAACTGGGAATCCGACTTATACTGACTTGATCGTCGGAGTGCTCACCTTTTTGTGCAGGTCCGCGCAAGTGTTCAGATCGGCTCGGAAGCCGAGTTCGAGTTGCAATCTGAAATACGTTGTTGTGCATATTCTTGCATAAACAGAATCATAATGGGGCACTACAATATTACACTATTACCCGTCTATATTTATCAATCGTTGTAAACGAGGTGTGCCAGTTTCTTCACTCCCTACATCAACTCATTTTCTTGCGATGTAACGTATGTTGCACTACTTGAAAGAGACTTTCATGGTTTATTCTGTTGAGATATTTAAGTTCTTAGTGCTATCTGACTCACAGGCCACTGATGGAAATTCCAAAGAAATCAAATTTAGGGCAAAATCAAGAAAGATTAATATTTTGCGACTTACCTTGAGTTTGTGCGAGGGAGAACTACAACCATGGTGTACAGCAGCGTTTTGTGTGATGTGCTTCTTTCAACTGGTATGCATGGATGATGAAGTGGAAGAGAAGAAAGGTGAAGACAATGGTTTTTGAGTGATTCGGCAACTTCCCTACATGCACTATTGGGAGAGGAACCTTTTATTTCTTGAAGGCTGAGACTTTTACAAGGCAAATGTAAAAAAACTACACATTCATCAACACTGATGCATATATTTTTATAGAGATCTTTTAAAGTTATTTTGAAACCCGTGTAAATTTTAACTTGTATAATTTTTACTGAGCTTCAGTTGGATTTCACTCAATGTTGAAATGTACAAATGTCCACCTTGAAATCCAAGCTGCAAGCGAGCAAAGATCTCTCCCTAATTTGAGCAAATGTACCCTTTTTCAGGTACATGCAAACCAATCAGCTTTAGGCAGTGTTCAAATTATGTTTGATTTACTGGTTTGGTAAGCATGTCTGCTGCATTGTCCGATGTATGAACTTTCTCCACCTTAATTTGTTTATTGTCAATCTGCTCTGCTCTCTAATAAATTGGTACTTTTATGTCTATACGTTTAGTTTTGTTGTGGAATTGCTGATGTTTAGACAAATAGATTGTACTTTGGTTGTCACTGTTGTTTGCTCATATCCCAACTCTCTCAATAGGCCTTTTAACCATAGCTTATTTTACTGCTTCCTACAGGGCAATGAATTCTACCTCACTGGAGGAAAGATGTACCACTGATTGCAAAGAGGCTTTCCAGCTTATTATATTTTGCCCCATTAGGAAGAGATATCTACATAATGACCTCCTTTTTTCTAGGTCCCCAGCATAATCTGAATCAACAAAACCAATCATTCTATTTTTGTGATAAATAATTAAGGGTTAATTATTTATTTGATATATATATATATATATATATATATATATATATATTAATTATTAATTAATTTTTATTAATTAATATGATTAATTAATTATTTATATATATATTAATTATATTATTAATATTAATATTAAAATAAATATTTAACTCCCTTGCAAAATTGCAGGGGAGTGGGCAGTGCACTGCTTTTGTTTTCTTCTTTTGCAATTTTGCAAAAACAGAAGAGTAGAACGAAAGTAGAACTCTCCAAGAATTTCTCTCAATCAAAGCTCTCTCTCTGAATTCTCTCTCTCATTCCAAACGGTGCTCCCACAAGCACGATCCCGAAACCGAAGAGGATAGCAAGGAAGATTCTCTGGTGGTGTTCGTAGGAAATCAAATTGAAGAAGTGTTCTTTAAAGGTAAGGAAAACAAGTTTTTTCTCTGTGTTTTCAATTTTGTAAGTTTTGGTTTTGTTTCTCAAAAATCAAGAACGATGGTCTGCTTCCGCTTCGGGATTCACATCCCTTCAAACATCAACTTTGAACCTCGGGGTGTCTCTAAAAGGACAGGTTGTCATTGATTTCGTGGCTGAATTGACACCCAGCCCATTAGTGAAAAAATCTAAACAACAATGGACTTTGTATGTGGATGGTTCTTCCAATGAAAAAGATTGTGGAGCAAGAATTCTCCTTCAGTCACCAGAGGGAATACGTTTTGAGTATGCACTACGATTTAGTTTTGGGACGTCAAATAATGAAGCTGAGTACGAAGCCTTATTAGTTGGGCTTCAGATGGCGCAGAGTATGGGCGCCGAATGTCTCTTGATTCTCAGCGATTCCCAACTTATAGTTAATCAAATAATGGAAGAATTCCATGCGAAAGATGGACGAATGGCCAGGTATTTGTAGAAAGCAAAGAAAGGTCTGGCAAAGTTCAAAGATTTTGTGATCCGTCAAGTCCCTCGATCAGAGAACTCAAACGCAGATGCTCTGGCAAGATTGGCTTCGTCGTACGAGACCGATCTTGCACGCACAGTAGTTGTCGAAGTGTTATGCTCACCATCAGTTAATGAAGTATAACCGTGTGAGGTCTAGATACCACCTCGTTTTTGGATGAGTCCAATAATTGAGTTCCTTAACGGAATTCAACTTGAAGATAAGAATGAGGTGAAAAAGTTACATAGGCAAGCGGCTCATTACCTTGTCCAGAATGGAGTATGTACAAGTGAGCGGATTCTCTGCCCTTATTGAAATGCCTCGCATCAGATTAGATGGAGTATGCACTTCGGGAAGTACATGAAGGAATTTGTGGTGATCATACTGGGGCTCGAACTCTAGAATCGAAGATCATTTGACAGGGATTCTATTGGTCGAGTATTAGTAAAGATGCGAAGACATTCGTGCAGAAATGTGACAAATGTCAAAAATATGTCGATTTAATCAAACAACCGCCTGAGAACTTAACGCCGATCTCCAGTCCGTGGTCATTTGTCCAATGAGGGATTGATCTTATTGCCCCCTCCCCACCAGAAAAGGCCAAGTGAAGTTTGTCGTTGTTGTTGTGGATTACTTCACTAAGTAGGCCGATGCAGAGCCTTTAGCTACCATTATGGAACCAAAAGTGAGAAATTTTGTTTGGAGGAATATAATATGCAAGTTTGGAATTCCACACGCCATAATCAAGAACAATGGGAAGCATTTCGACAATGAGAAGTTCAATAGTTTCTGTGCAAATCTTGGAATAAAACATATTACTTCTTCGCCTGCTCATCAGCCAACGGGCAAGTAGAAGTAGTTAATAAAATCCTGAAACGAGGATTAAAAATGAAATTGGAAGAATTGAAAGGTGAATGGGCCGAAGAGCTCCCAAGTATATTATGGTCTTATCGGACCACTCCAAGGGGCTCAACAAACCAAACACCTTATGCATTAGCGTTTGGTTCGGAAGCAGTAATTCCAGTGGAGATCGGTATACCATCAAAACGAATTGAACGGCCCTTTGATGAAGCGCATAACTCAGAAGCATTATGTTTGAATTTAGATCTTCTTGAAGAACAAAGAAACGACTCACAGTTAAGAAATGCCGAATATAAAAACAGAATGATGAAATATTATAATGCCAGAGTGAAGAAACGATGTTTCAAGCCAGACGATCTGGTGTTACAGAAAGTCCTTCAAAAAACTGGGGCTTTGGAACTTAACTGGGCCGGCCTATAGAAGATTAAAGACATTGTCTGCACAGGAATGTATCAATTGATGCATTTGAATGGAAAGCAACTCGCCCATCCATAGAATTCTGAACATCTTAAAATGTATTATCAATAAAGTTTGTAATTCGATTTAGCGTTCTGCAAACCCTACTCAAATTAGGGCTGTCTTATACATCTATTTTTGCACTTATATGACACTTATTCTTATGCGCTTATTTTATATATTTAGTAATTTGTTGTGGAGTATTTTATTATTTGGTTATATGATCCGATTCACACATCATGATTGAAGTTGATTCGTTAAGATGATTCGTCAGGTTGAACATTGAGCACAAAAACTTCCCATTTAAGCAAAATATTATAATTTTGTTATTCGGAGTGTTTATCAAAATTACATTGTGATAAAAATAAATGGGAGTGTAGAAAAGCGGTCAGTCTCGCTTTCGTTTCTTCTCCATGGAAAGTTGCCGCTCTAGGAAAGTGATTCGTCGCTCCATCGTGCATTGCTCCTCTTCTATGGCCAGTTTCTCTTCCTCCCAGTTCTTCTTCTCTTCCTTCAAGCCCTGACACTCAAATTCGAACTTCAGAGACTTGATTATCATCTCCCGTAGTTCGTTTCCGAGTCTGTTGACTTCCCTTTCTAGATTAAGGGCTTTTCCTTCGGCTCTTCGAAGTTTGAACCAGGAGATGAGAGCAATGTAGTATGGAAGGCGGTTAGACGAAGGCTCCCCCTCAGTGATTGTTGCAAGGTTGGACGGATTTAGAGGAACGGAGGACGGGGAAGAGGAAGATGAAGAAGAATTTCCATAATGGTCAGAGGAGATCACCATGAAAGAGATAAGTGGGTCGTCAACCTCTTCAGACATGGTGAAAGATGGTTGAAGGTTGAGATTAAGCAACGAGTGAGTGAAAACCCTATAAATATATGAAGTGGTTTGGATTTTGAAGGGTCAATCGAAGTGATTTTGAATGCGAAACAGCGTTGAGGGATAATTAATGGCAATTACAAGGTTGAAGTAATTAAAGACTCAGTGAATTTAATATGAATATACGATTCGATACGGAAATCGTGCCAAAGTTTGAGGACGGTTACATCACATAGTAAAAAAATAAAAAGAAGGAAAATGGTACTACAATAAAGGTCATGCAAGATCGGAATCCGCCAGCTCGACTAAGTCTCCTAATCTACCTTATGCAGGTGTCGATGAGTCAGGAATGACCTCAACTTCCCTAACTCCGGTGCCGATTCCAACCTGGGAGTCCAACCTGGACACTCTAGTCAAAGGTAGAGCTCTTGCTTCATTAGCCGGGGCTGATTTGACGGTCTGATCGGTTGTCTGATCGGATGCCTTCTTCATGGAAAATTACCAATCTTGGTTAAACATGGAAACAAGCTTATCAGAGTTGACTTCTTGAGCAAAGTTATTCAGCCATTCGACAGCATAGTTAAGGCCACTGTACTCCAGGTACCGTTCTAACTCCTTGAAATCAGGAAATTGAGACATGACTTCGTAAAGAAGGTCGAAGTTACTAAGCCGGGCTTCAGTATTAGCAAGTCGAGATTCAGCGTCAGCAAGATTTGACACAGATTCAGCAACTACCTCTCGGACTCCAGAATTTGGATTCAATGTTAGCTAAATCTAGTTTAGTTTGTCGAGCTTAGACCTCGTGTCATCAAGTTCGGCCTCGACTAGTTTTCTCTCCTTGACCTCAGCACTCAAAACTCTCTCCCCCTGAGGTCTTCAAGTCAGCGAGTTCAAACTCGATCAACCTTCTCTTTTTAGTCTCAGCATTTAGTCGCTCCCAGTTGAGGTCTTCAACTCGACAAGTTCGTTATGCAGTTGAGTATGTAGAGGCCCGATCTGGTTAGCCTCATACCTCAATTCAGAGTTTTCAGATTGCATACGAAAGATTTCTGCTTCCAACTTTGCCTGTTCAACTTTATAGTTGTTGTTTCCAATGATGCATTTCTCTGATGCCATAAGCACATTGAGGGTTTCCAGCTTTAGTGTAACGACCCGAATTTTCGATACATTTAACGAGGTAACAACCTTATAACGCTTACTGAACCCTCCTATCTAAGGTAACGAAAAATGTAATGTTCTCTTAATGCAACACACAAAATGGAGGTACACAATAATGGAATGTCCAGAAATCATACCTGCCTCAGTGGTTAGGAATCCAATCAAAAGAAGTCTAGCAATCCAAAATACATCAGTAGTTCAAATAGTAAAAATATCTGTAGAGCAATAAAAGACAGTGTCCTATGAATTAACCCAATGTCTAATTCCCCTGTTATTTCATAGCAATAAGACTTTTAACGACGTCGGCAATGCACGACATTATTCACTACCCT